GGATCCGTGTGGATTCTGAATCTACATACTCAAAAACATATATTCTAGCATTTAGTTTTGCAAAAAAAAAAAAAAAAAAAAATTTTATAGATCATTGAAGTTTTACGAATTTCCTATTTAAAATGATCGGTATGATCAGCAGAATATTCTGGAATCGATTCCAAATTTGGAAATACCCCTGACTGTATTATAGAGGGTCTCTAAAAGTTTATGCATATTTTTTCGTATGAATTTTTCTTAAAATTTTATTAAGCAATTAAGCAATTTACAAATTATAAATAATGTTCTTAGACTATTAAAATATAAATTTTATTAAGTATTTAATACTTGGTCAGATCACCATTTGCATTAATTACCGCTTGAATTCGTCGAAGCATACTTTTGACTAAATTTTCAATTTTTTTAGAAGTAATTGATTTTCAAGCCTTTTGTAATTGTCGTTCAAGTTAGAAAAAATTTGTGAACTTTATTTTTTAGCTTTGAAGGTTTTTTTTAGTTTTGTCTTATAAATTTTTGATCAAATTAAGGTTGGGATTTTGGGCAGGCCATTTGTCTTAAATTATGAGTGCATAAAACAAATCATGTAGGGTTTACGATTTTTGCAAGGTTTGCAATGTTTATTATATTTGCAATATTGGTGATATATTTATATGAAAATGGTGGTCTGATCAAATAAATAAACAGTTTAGTACAAAATTTAATTTACTATTCTAGATTATTTGCTTGCTTAATAAAAATATGATTAAAGTTAATATAAAAAAAGTGTGCATAAACTTTTGGAGACCCTCTGTATTTGATTATGAAAATTTATTGGATCCAGTAGATGATGATGAAGAGATAGAAGTTCCTAATAATCAAAACAGTGATGAAAAATATTTTGAAGAAGATAATTATAAAAATAATTAGGATATTGGAAATGATGCAAATGAAATTGATAATGAAGATAATGCAAGTTGTAGTGAGATGAAAGGAGAAGGAGATTTAATCAATTGGTAAATAAAGCGAAAGCAGAAAAGAATGTAAATGTAACAGTTCGATTAGTAATTTTTTTTCTTCATTTTTTTTCATTTTATTCTAATAAATTACTTATTTGCTTAAAATTGTATTTTTATGTATAATGTGAGATCTTTTAAAAAAATTCAAATATCAAAAATATATAACATAATTTTAGGATAGTCTGTATCTGGATACTATACATCATATATAATGTTTTCTAATATTATACCCCGAATACTTAACAAATTTCTGATGATTAAAATTGAAATTTCTGTGTATAGTATCTGGGTACTTTAAAATTATGTGAAAATTTTTTGAGGAGGTACTATACATAAGAAGGTACTTTGACCTACAATATATGGTAATTATTAATATATATATTATTAATATATAAAGATCTGATAATATTTATATATTATATTTAATTATATAAAGCAAATATATTTAAAATTTAATAGTATATATTTATAAATTTTTGTTAACTAAGAAAAATTATTTAAATAATAGAGAAATAAAATAAAAATTAATTTAATTATATAAAAATTATATATTATAAATTATCTAAAAATATAATATTTATATATTTATTATTTAAATCATTAATATACTTATTTAATATATTTTTAAAATTTATATTATTTTTATAAAAAATATATTTTTCATATATTTTATAAAAATAACTTTTAATAATTATTATAATATTTTATTTAATATTTAAATAATATTATATTAATCAATTAATAACATAATTTTTACTTTACTTTTGTAATTAAAAGATATAATGTTTAATTATCATATAATAATTTTTATTATTTTAGAATTAATAAAAAATTTGCTTAAAAATTTTTTTAATTTTTAATAAGTAATTATTTTACTTTAAAATAAAATTTATATGATTTATTCATTTATTATATTTTTATTATTTTTTATTTTTTATTTTTAATAATTTATTAAAAAATAATTATATTTAAGTCAAAACTTATTTAATATTAAATTGATTTTAATAATATATAATTAATTAAATCAATTATATAGCTTTTTTATTAACTTTTATTTTTATTTTTTAATTTTATCTAATACTTATAAATCTCTAAAATGACTTATTTAAACTTATATTTTAATTTTATATAAAATTAAACTTTTTAATTTATCTTAATATAAATTATTTTAGAAAACTTATAATACCTTAACATCTAGTAATTATAAAAAGATAAAATAAAGTTTATTAGATTTATTATATTATGATATATCTGTTATACTTCAAATACATTGATATTCAAAATGTGCATTTGGAATATTTTAAATTAGAATATACAATTAGAATATTCTAAATGCAAAGATTGTTTGAAATATTCGCTACTTTCAAATATGTATTTCAGGTATTCTAAATACACATTTTAGATAATATCCTAAATGAACATTTTGGGATATCCCAAATACATATTTCAGATATTCCAAATATGCATTTTGAACAATATCCTAAATACACATTTTGGATATCCCAAACGTGCATTTTGAATAATATTACAAATATACATTTTAGACAATATTTTAAATGTATATTTCAGATATTCTAAATATGCATTTAAGACAATATCCTAAATGCATATTTCAGATAATATCCCAAATGTGCATTTTAGATAATGTCCTAAATGCTCATTTCAAATATTACAAATGAGTATTTAGGATATTTTAAAAGACTATTTAAACTGTTCTAAATGATTACTAATGATTTGAATTTATTAATTAACAGACTTGTAATTTAAATTTTATTTATATTTAATATTTATATTTTTAAAACTTTATTTTTATTTAAATTGTAAATAAAAATGTAAATAAACTTTATATTAGTATTTGGATATCTGAAATATGCATTTAGGATATCTAAAATATGTATTTGAGATATCCAAAATGTATATTTAGGATAAATACACATTTGGGACAAGTGAATATCTAAAACGATCTTTGCATTTAGAATATCCCAATTGCATATTCTGATTTAAAATATCCCAAATATGCATTTTAGATATTAACGCATTTGGGATACAACATATCTAATATTATTATGTTTTAAATTTTTAAAATTAATAATTACCAAAATATATTAATTTTTTATTTTTTATTTTTAAAAATATTTAAAATAATTTTAATAATAATAAAATTACAGGCAAATTTGTTTGTAATACCATTAAAGAAATAGTAAATAAAAAAAAAATTTATTTTTTAAAAATTAAAAAACAAAAAAATTTTTTGATTTTAATTTAATAAATTATTTTATCATACATGTTTAATATAATGATTTATAAATTTTTTATTATATATTATTAAAAATATTATAAATAATATTATATAATTATAAAATTATATTTTTTTTAAAATTTTTTTTATATTTTTATATTATATTTATTAATCATATTAAATAATTTAATTAAATAAATGTTATTTTAATTAAAATAGTTTTTTAATAAAATCTTTTAATAATTTTTTAAATAATATTAGATTTAAAGAATTTTTTATTAAAATTTAATTAATAATATCAAAAAAAAAAAAAGACTAAAATGTAATGATAACTTTTATACAAATGCAAATTATTCAAATGTTATTTATTATTATAGATAATGATCAGAATCGCAATATGTAATTATGAGGCTAAAAATATGATTTTATGTACTAGAATTAAATTTAATGACTTACAATAAATAAATTTTTATATGTAAAAAAAGTATATGTACGCCCTATTCAATTTTATAATAAAAAGTTTCATTCTGGTCTATTCTTTAATTTTATTAAGTAACATTTAAAGAGAGTTCATCCATTTCCTCTTCCGTTACGGGTATTAGATCATTATCTGGTAAATTTATCCACCCTCATAGGTCACTGGTATCATCATCAACTAAGAACACAAAAGAATAAATTTTTTCTAGAAGTTTTTCTTGTTTAATAAACTTGTTCCTTATTATCTTGAAAAAATTAAAGATTTTTGTGTAGCATTTAATAGTTTTAAGTGAATAGAGAATTATGCATGAAGCCAATTCAATAGCCAAATATTTTTTATTATCAACAAGTGATACAGCAAATAATATCAATTTATTCCTAATTGCTTGTATACTATACAATCTAACTTTCTTAGCAATTTCAATTGGACAATCAAAATTATTCATCAATATTCTACATAAATTACAAACAGCCATCATTAGTAATTTTTTTGCGTCTCTGACTGTATGTTTCTTTTTTGATTTATAAGGTGATCTAGATACTTCAACGTATATAATTTCAGTTGCGTCTGATAGTCTCAGAACTAACAAATCAGTTTTCTGAGTCCTTATGTTAATTGCAAACATATTGCTCATGTCCTTATGAATTTAACATCCTTTTCAATCCACTCATATTTAATTTCAGGAAATGCATTTCTAAAAGATCGAAGTATAAGTGAAAGGCATTCCACAATATACGATTTTTCAGACATATCTCGAGCTAACACTTTAGGCGATATATATTTATACATCACGATGAAATCTAGGAGAGTATGCTGAATAAAAAAGAGAAATCGTGATTCCTCACTCTCTTTAATTTTTTTTTTCAACTTTGGTTTCTGTTATTATTTTCGAGCTAATTTCTGCATAGTCTATTTGAAAAATTGCCTTCAATTTCTGGATTATCGATCTATCTAAAATCAATTTGTTTCTTGTTTTAAGAACCTTTTCGATCTTCTCAAATAAACTTTTCTCAACAGATTTCTTGACCAAATGTAACGTTGAGTTAAACGCGTAAATTATATACGTAAAGATTAGGTTATATATTATTTCCATTATTATTGGCCTATTTAATGATGTAACCGAATGATCCAGGTTGTTAGACAAGAATTCACGTTCAAATTCTTGATGCTTGATAGATTCTAAAACAACAAAATAAAAAAATAATAAGAATTGTACATTTTTTATTACGAAGAAAAACTAATAAAAAATAATTACATAATATGGATCTATGTCCGATTCATTATAATTGATATCTTTTCATTCTTTGAAACTGTATCATCTCATAAGTTCTTTCTAAAGAAGTCATAAAAAAACAAGTTAGAAAGGCATTTTCAGATATATGTAGTTACTATGCATAAAAGATAGCAATGTCAAAATACATCTGTGATCTTTTTGCCATTTGATTTTATATCTCTTTCTTCCAAATTAGATTTAGCAGGTGATTTTTCACCAGTCTCAGTCGTAGAACTTTTATTTTTCTAAAAGAAATCTTAAAGATAATGTATTCATAGTTAGAAAATACATATTTCAACTATATGGCTAAGCTCTAAAATATCGTCATCAGTATTTTTTACCTTGAGAAAGATATTTGTGGGTAAATTTGGTCCTATTCTAGTCTGTGCATTTTAAAAGAAGTTAGAAAATTAAACGATATTCTTGTTTATAAATTTAATTACATGCTAACCTTATTCGGAGAAATTGATGGTAATTCTTCATTTTCACAAGCTCGCTTGCGTCCAATTATTGATTCAGGCGTTGAGTTATCAATCTAATTTCCTGATAATTTCTGTGAATATCATTAGCATAGTAAAAAAATATTTAATCGTCAATAATATTTTATATTAATGTATTATTAATATTTCTAACGGTATAATTAATATTTCCAATTGCAGTTTTAAGGGCCTCTGCGGAGGTGCTTATCAACGAGCTAGTATCCTTAATCTGTAATCAATAAAATGAAATACAGTTAATATAAATCCCAACTTTATAAAATATACAAGAAAAATTACAACCTCTACATTTTGTAGCCGATTTTATAGCTTAATATTCAGTTCGATTCTTTTCCAAAAAACATCAACACCATTAAGAATTTTGCAATGATCCTCAAAAATAATAATAAATTAATAAAATTAATGTTAATAAAAGTATAACCTGAATAGTCCACACAGAATTAGTATATTAAGTACAACAAACATTCCATCTATAAGGTTTACAATATTCCATTATTTTACCGTAGTTATAAAGAGTTCTATTTCTCATAGCAGATATTCCATCCATAAGATAGACAACATTCCATTGTCATCGTAGCTATGAGAGGCCTTTCTGCTAATCAGCTATACAATGAACAATAATATAAAAATTAAACAAATACCTTAATTGTCCAGAGCGTTAGCGAAGGACTATTTACTGTAATGACTTAACAAAATTTGTTTTAACCCTATTTTTGTCCCTGTCACAATTATCAGTTTATTTTCTTTTTTTGAAAAAATACATTATGATTATGTAAAATAAACTAAAAATAAACTAAAAATAAAAATAAAAAAATAAAACAATTCCCTGTACTAAAAGCAAAAATATACAAGATCATATAATACTTATGTTAAAAGTTGTGTAATATTAGTATAAATCGCATAATATAATTGTAGATCATGTAACCTTTTGCCAAATAATGAAAGCAAAAAATTTTTTTTGCAAGAAATTTAGATCGTTTTCATTTTAGCTAGTCTTTTTTCTTCTGCTATTTATTCTTTTAACCTTTTACAGTTTTTTATGTGCTTAATTCTACTAAAATCAAACTGCTTGAAAATAATATCATTGAGAGAACGAACACAGGAAATTGCTACAAATACAAACCAGCAGCAAATTCCCTCTTGCCAAGATCTATAACTGCTTTCAGTAAAGTTAGACCTTGCAATTTGTAAGCTGTAATGGCCCATGAAAGAGAAAGTAGAAGTTGTAGTCAAGAGCAAATGCTAGATTTGCCTTTTCATATGTATCGTATAGGAACAATAGGTACAACCAGAATTTCATTTATGTTTGTAAGAGTTGGGCTATGATATTAGTCAAAAGAAACTAAAATAGCAGTTGGTAATGATGTATGCTCAGGGTTCTCTTTGTATAATATATCTATTATTGTTCCCATTGTGTTATTCACAAAATCAGTAGCATTCTGGCTAACAATATTTCAGATTCAAGACCTTTTGCTATATCTGAATCGGCCTTTGAAGCTTCAGTGCCACCTGTATGAACTGCTCAAATCCTAGCAATAGGTTAGTTTAATGACTAAGTTTATTAGCATTAATTTTATCAACTTCTTCCCATATTGTAAGAATGTTGATAGCATTTGAAAATTTTTTTCACTCTGGTTCTGATAGCTTTTTTAGGATTTGTGTCATCAATAATTCTCAATCAGATTGTATAGATTCTTTATCACATAAGCGAAATAAAAGATTTCTGAATTAACATTATTCATTTGAATTACCAATTTGTCATTGTGCAGTTTCAAGTTTATAAACTTCTTGAAATTAGCTATAGGTATTACGTCTATCCTTAGATATAGGATCTGATGATCAATAATCCTGAGAATACATGGGAAGATCACATACTGGGAAAGTTATCTGAAGTCGTCAATAAGGATTATAGATTGGTCACTAAAGTATTGATTAGAATGATCTAAAAATGCTTAACGCAGTCTCAAATCAATTAGAACAAGAAAGTGACAGCCTACCATACTAAAGATAGCACTGCAACTGGTTGCAACCAGTGACAAATAAGCATCACAGGGTTGCAACTAGTTGCAATATTAATAAAAATTAAGTTGCAACTAGTTGCAACCAGTGACAAATAAGTATTACATGGTTGCAATTAGTTGCAGTACCATCTTTATACTATACTCATTTCATCAATGATAATATATTGGATATCTTTTATTATATTTTGTAATTTTTTCAAAGATTCACCTTTAAGCTTATAATTTATGCTACATATTGGAATGAAAAGTAATAAATAGATAGTTCTACATTGAATATTAAAGGTTATAATGCCTGTTAGAGCAAGTATAATACTATTTTTTTGTAGCCTATTTCAGATGATGCTTATTAGATAAGATTTTCTAGTTCTAGCAGTACCCATAATAATAATCCGCAAAAGGTTTTACAGATTCATTTGAAGTTAAAGCAATATAATGTCTTTCAATTCTTTCAAATATTATCCTTTGTTTATTATTTAGGGTTTTACAATCAATATTTCTTGATTATTCCTGATTTGAGTTGCATCATAATCATCAATTGCCTGCTTAATGAAACTTCCTATTTCTTCAATTTTAGAAAATTGTGTCTAGCTTTCATCAATCCAATCATGATTTATGTCAATATTTCGGTTACTAAAAGAATTAGTTGAATTGCATTTTCGTCTATCTGGCATCATTTCAGACAGTACCATCCAATCAGCTTAAGATTCATATTCTTCTTATACAATATCTTCATTATCATCAGAATTGTTACCATCAACTTTCTCAAGATTATCCACAACAGGTTCAATTAAATCACTAGGATCATCATTAATTTCTGAAAGATGATAATTATATAAGTCTATCTATGAAAGTGTGTGATTCTCTATAAGGTTAAGAATGTCTCTATAACAAACATGTAAGAGAACTTTTACGCGATAAAATTCTTCCCATTGAGGACCATTTTTAATTAAAGATGATCGTGACCAGATATGTACAATATTTTCTTTGCTGCATTTTACCCACTCTTTTCTGACTGATATATATTGCAGATATAATCTAAATAATGACACATCACTCAATTCAGTAGATCGACTGCAATATCTTTGCAAAGGTAAGAAATCTGTTTTTTTAACTTCATTGTTCTTATTATGTTTACTGTTATAAAGCTACTAATTTGTCTCTTTATTAAGATTTAAATTAGTAAAATTTCTACTACAGTGGTAAAGTAGTATTTGAAGAAAAAAGTAGCAAGTTTTCTAGGCTGAATAATCATATTCCTTTATTGTATAAATAAGCAATTTTTGAAATGCTTTAATACTTAGATTATTTGGATTATTATATGAAGAGCTTGATCTAAAACTTCTAAAAAAGCTAAAAATCGTGACTCAGCTTTACTAGCATATTTTGAAATATACTGTAAAGCAGCATATTATGTGAGAATAAGCTTCAAATCAATATTTGCCCTTCATTCCTGAAGTTGAATATGATTATGTGAATTTATAAGTGAATCATTTCTGGCTATTATTAACTCTAGATAACTATTATTATTTTGAATAGTTATTTGACTTGTTAACTCTTAGGAAAACCAAATCTGCATTTCTGTTCACCAGTTTTTTTGTCAATTCGTAGATAGTAGAAACCACAATGTGTATAATGCTATAATTTATTTATTAGCTCAATGTAGTCTGCTATATTATCATTGAGATTTTCAAGCACTTTTAATATGGGTGATGATCAGGAAAAGGTATATCTAAACCAGGATTGATTATTGTAATTAAAGAATCTAAGTAATGCATAACATTTTCCATTATCTCCTCATTGTTATTCATTTTTTTCCAATCAATTTCAGATGCATCTTTTCTCTTAGTAATACTATGCATATGAACACTATCATGATGCTGTCATTCGAAGTGATACCACTACTCAACTAATCCCCATTTAGGTATAAGAACCTTTTCAAAAAAGACTTTAAACCACTTTTCAAAAATCATGCAACAATATGGGGATTATCTATAAGATCCTTATGTTGACATCTAGTGACATCCTGATTTGATTATGCTTTTATAGTATTTTCTCCGCTAAACATAAGGTTGTGTAGATCTGACTAATGCATATTAGCTATACTAATCATAAAGAATACCATTTCTTAGGATCTTACCTATTTTATCATATCTATTAATTCAGCTTTACGATGCATCTAATATTGACGGGTATTATATAATCCCTCATCATAATATAACACTCAGTCTATAATGTTATTATTGGCTTCTATTAAATTTAAGATTTCAGCTACAGTAAGTTACCCTTTATCTAAATTTTGTCAGACAAATATATGACCTTCTAATAATGCTCTCCATCTCATTATTATATTTAATGCAAAATAACGCCATCATAGATGATGAGCAAACTAACCATTTTTGTAGATTAAAAGGTGTTTAAAGTATTCTACCAGTTTTACTTCTTTTACTCAATGTTTATAGTATTCTGCGATACCTCAAGGATAAAGTATAGGGAATGCCCGTTGTTACCAGATTCATTTTCGTTTATCTTAATGTTTAAGTTAAAAGATTGCGGTAGCTAATTCTACACGTTAGAGTTTTCAACCTTAGGATTTTCTCTAAGTCCTACAGGTATCCGTTATACTTGAATCAACTTAGCAATTTATCACGTCTTAGAATTTAAGATATATTTAATCGAACTTGTAATGATGAACTCAATAATAAGTTAGTGTAAGGTATCACAATAATCCTAGATGAAGGATAACGTTAAAGAGAAAAGTAGTTTGTGTAGATTTAAATTGATTTCTTTATTTATAACTTGAAACTCGCAGAAGAGTATAAACTTACAAATGAATTTATAGACTTACAATTGAGTTAATTTACAACTTAAGCAAAAGCTATTCTATTTATACAAATTGACTTTGCTACGGCTAACTACTTGCTACGCTATAAATTAACTAAATATAGATATATGTCTCAATAAAAATATACGTAAATATAATAAAATAATAAAAATAATATAAATAATAAAAATAATAAAAAGAAATAAAATAAGTTACAGATGTTAAAGAAATTACAGATAAAATAAAGTAAATAGAATAAACAGACTGTTCAGAAAATACAGAAGAAACAAGTATATCAGGCATAACAGAAATTATTGATGATCACTGTTTAGCACAGCGGTGACATCATCTAACGTGAGATCATTATTGATCGACAGATCTCACGTAATATTTGGAGTTATAATTTCTTCCGTTGACAATCCTCCTTCAACTTGAATTTTGAACGTAGTAGTGAGAAAAAATTTCGCCTTTGAAATAAGATTCTGTATTTTACTTTTTATTAGTTGTTGTATTTACCAGGTAGTTAAGACTTTAGTTCGATAGAGTTGTGATATTCCTAATTTCTGAAATATCATAAAAGTCTTTATAGCAATCTCTCTCTGATATGAATTCAAAATTAATTTTACCCATTTGTAATCAATATCTTCTAAAGAATCTAAAAGATCTTCAGCGAAATACATGTTTATTAACATTCCAATTCTATTTCTGATCACTTTTGTTCATCGATAATTTCTTTGAATTATCCTCATTTTTGTCTTAAGATCATCTGTAGATTGATAAAGATGGTAATATGTAATAGTTCTATTCACATTACGTCTTGTAAAATTTCATCCATTTTTGCAAAACTGATACTAATAGAGGGTAGCAATATTTATATATTTTCTCATATGTCAATCACTATTTGTGGTTTCCATGACCATCTATCAAAATAACTTTTTAGTAAGTCACTATTTACAGGTTTGACAAGAAGGCATCCATCTTCTTTTCTTAAATGATAAGATCCATTTATCAAAATCTCATGAATTCTATAAGGTCCTTTCTATTTTGGCTCTAATTTTTCTGAGAATTGATTGATTCGTGTAGCATCAAAGTACAAGAGTTTTTGTTTTATGTCAAATGATATTGGTTTAGTCAGATGTTTGTCATAGGCTATCTTTTGTTTATTTTTCATGACGATCATTGTTTGTTTAGCTTTTTCTCTAATATCTGAAAGTTTCTCTATGATTTGTCAGATTCAATCTATCAAATTTTTATTTTCTTGATCGACATGATCATCAAGGGATAACTTTGCTTCTCGTCCATATATTAACAGAAATGGAATCATTTTGGTAGTAAATTGCTGAGCAGTATAATAAGCGAATAATATAGATGCTATATATAAATTCCATTTAGTTTGTTCTTGTATAATTTTTGCTAATGATTCTTTCAATGTTTTATTAAATCTTTCTACTTGTCCATTTGTCTGAGAATGATATGGCATCGAATTATGATGTTTAATTCTAAATTTTTTTATTAATTCTTTTATCATAGCATTATTGAAATATGTTTCTCTATCTGAGAGAATTTTTATAAGACATTCATGTCTACAAATAATTTCTTCATAGACGAATAAAGCAACTTGACTAGCAGTGGCTTCTGCAATAACTCTTGCTTCTGGCCATTTCATAAACATATCTACAGCTACAATAATATATCTATTTTCTCTAGAAGTTATTGGTAAAGGACCAATAAAGTTAATTCCAATCTGATAAAAGGGGCTGTTAAGGGGTATAGGATGTAATTCGTTATTCTTGCTTAGTCTTCCTCTTCGTTGACAAGAATCACACGTTTTCACATACTCTTTAACATCTTTATACATTTAAGACCAATAATATCAAATTTTAATTTTGTTGAACATGATTTTTCATTCAAAATATTCTGCTATAGAATCATTATGCATCATGTATAAAACAGGTTCTAATTCATATCTTTTGAGAACTTGTAATAAATACCTAGGTCTTTTTCAATCAAAACGATATAAATTAGTATTTTGAATTGTAAAATACTTGGCCATATTCGTGAACTTTTCTTGTCTCTATTAGATTGAATATGATTAGGAAACTTATTATGATTTAAATATTGTTAAAGTTTGAAATATTGTTGTATATCTATTATAAATAATTGAGCTGTAAGTCACAATGCTTACACTTTCACTTTTACTCAATTAAATAAACTTGAGACTTTCACTCACTAGTGCTATTCAACTAGGTGTTATCTCTTTAAAAGTAATATAATATAAGTTGAGATATAATACTAAAATAACTAATATAAAAATAAAAGAAGGGAATAATATTTAAAATCTAAATCAGGAGTAGATGCATAACTTTGAATTTCGTTAAAATTTGATGCAATAATTGGGGTGATAGTTAGTCTATAAGGGTTAAACAATTTATTAAATTCATCTTCAGTCAATTTATCAGAGGTTTGAGGATTAAGAGGTAGTTGCAATAATTCAACTGCAGCATGACAAGCTTCATCGTGATGTTGTACTTCTTCAGGGATATCCCAAAAGATTTCATTCGTCAAGGCTTCAGGCATTATTTTGGGATGGATTTGACTAAGTTTGTATCCAATAATACAATCGTGTTCTAGGTCCATAGTAATAATTTTTTCACAAAGTATATAATTAACAAAATAATCTTGTCTTACTTCTACTAATGAACAATCTTGCATTTGCTTAACAATTATTTGTTTAAATTCTGTGGCTTAAAGGTATATATTATACATATCTTGTCTCCAATCTCTTATTTTTCTATCAAGTATAAATTCAAGGTCTTCTTGACTTAAATAATATTCAAACTCATTATCACTTCTTTGAGAATTTAAATTTTTTTCTGAATATTCATCATTATCTTGACAACTTTCTTCATTGACAAAATCAGAGAACTCTTGATAATAGTCATCACATTTACATAAAGTACGTTCATCAGGGGAAGATATATAATTTCCATAAGAGTTCACACATTGGAAACAGAAAATACAATACCAATGCGAGTGATGATCAGTTTCATTGTAAGAGTAAGAATTTCTTCTATATTGGTGATTATTCCTTAGTCCATTCCATTGTCATTTAGTTTGACATCCTAGAATATCTAAAGCTGAAAAATGTACTTGGATCCATTTAGAATTCATGGTGGATTCTTCTTCTAATTCTTCTATTAAAGCCATATTAATTGGAACCATTCGTGAAAATGTATCAGCATTTTGATTTTTATTTCCCAGTCGATGCTTAATAGTGAAATTATAAGCTTGTAAGAAGAGGGCCCATCTGGCAACTTGTTTTTTTACATGTTTAGTGATTAATAACTAATTCAATGCAGAGTGGTCAGTTATTACTTCGAAAGGTTGGTAACAAAGATAATGATCAAAATGTTCAATAGCCTATCGAACTGCAAGACATTCTTTTTCAGTGGTTGTATATTTTAATTCTAAATCAGATAATTTTCTACTTGTATAGGCGATTGGATGTTCAAGTTCTTAATCATCTCTTTGAGCAAGTACAACTCCTAGTCCTTCATCTGAAGCATCTGTTTGAATAATAAATGCTTTATTTAGATCTGATTGAATGAGAACTAGAGTAGTAATCATTTTGAATTTTAATGCATCAAATGAATCTTGATGTTGAATTGTCCAATTCCAAGTAGTATTCTTTTTAGTTAGCTCATGAAGTGATCTTGCGATATTTGCAAAATCTTGAATAAAGTGTCGATAATAAGAAAAGAGTTCTAATGCCATTTGTACTTCTTTTGGATTTCTAGGTATAGGTAAATCAACCATAGTTTGGATTTTCTTTTGGTCAGGTTTGATTCTATTACTTCCTATGATGTGATGCATTTTCACTTGCCAATAATCACTTGCTAAATCTAAAGCAGTAAATTATCGTGCAGTTCTAAAGTTTTCTAATTGATCTTGCATATTTAGTATTAGATATCGTCTGTGACAGTTACAAAATTTAATGGACGATAATCAATACATATTCTAAGATCTCCTATTTTTTTAGGTACGATTACAAATTGAAGAAGCCCATGGACTTTCTGAAGTTTGAATGATTTCTTTTTCTAATATTTTGTCAATTTCTTTTTCTAAGAAATCTTTTCTTTCTTGATTTAATCGGTATGGAGGATAGGCGATAGGTCTTATATTTAGTTTCAAGGGAATTTGATGATTAATAAATGGGATTTGTCCAATGTCAACTCCTCCAGTTGAAATAATTTCTTTTGGTATAAGTGCTTTAATTATTTCTTGTTCTTCTATTTCTCCTTCAATATTTATACTATAAAGAGCGATAATTTCTTCCTCTTGGTAAAGCCATTCAATACGTTCTAATTCATCACTTCCCTCATTTGGATTTGAAGAAGAGTCTTCATCATTTTCTATTTGGAAAAGATCTGTCTCATATAGAGCTTCATCAACATATTTTTCTTCTTCACTTTTTGCAGTATTTGCTAAAATTCTGAAGAACAGTTTGGCTTCCTCAATGCATTTTATGAGGGATTCAACTGTTTGACCATCAATTTTAACTCTTAATTTATCTTGGTCAAAATATATTCTTGCATCAAATGCTTTAAACCAGTTTATTTCTAACAATAAGGTATCTTGAGTTAACTCAATCATTTGTAAATCGACTGAGAATTTAGCTTCTTGTAAAATGAGGGAGACAAAGATTATAATTTCCAATGATCTTTTACATTTACCATCTGCAGTTACAACTAAAATGTCAGAAGACTTGTCTGGTTTAATGTTAAGTTTGAAGACCAAGGTAGTTGAGATTATGCAGGCAGCTGCACCTGAATTCAAAATAGTTTCTATTGGATTTAATTTGAACCTCATAATACATCTAGCAACGGTATATTTATTATTGTCAGTTACATAAGTTTGTGCAATGTTTATCCTAATTTTCATTTCTTTTTCAATCTTATCTATTTCGTCTTTTACTTCTTAGAGGTACAAAGGATTTCTTAATAGTTGTCTGAAGGTAACATTAGCATCATAATATTTAAGGTCTTTAATTATTCTATAAGGTTAGTCATAATGAGGTTTTACTGACGTAAATTGAATAATTGGTTTTTGTGAATGAGATGAGGTCCTGTTTTGTTGTTCTCAAGCAGACTCAGATCGTGGTAATATAATCTGAGTGGTTTGTGGTAAAACTGATTTAGTAGTCATATAAGATTCTTGTTCAGTTTCAGCCTCTTCCGTTTCTGCTAAATTAACATTTCTTTACTGAGGGCTATTATTATTTCGATTATTATTATTAAATTGAGGATTAGATTAAGATCAAATTTGAGTTCGTGGTTGGGCTCTAGTTGTTGTTTCTGATTGACAATCTCTGGCCATAAGTCCTTCCTCTCTACAATTCCAACATTCAAATTTCTTTTGTTCATAATTACGATAGTTCCTTTGATTTTGATTTTGATTATTCTAATTGTTTTGTCGATTTGTTTGTTGAACTTGAGTATTAGCCAAATTTGTGATTAATTGAGATACTTGTTGTTGTAATAGCTCCATTTGATTTACTATGTTGAATGGGTTGAGCGATAACAAAACCTGTTTCAATTTCCTTAGCTTTAGTTATAGCTGTATCTAAATTATTTGGACTATGTCCTACTACCATTATCATAATATGTGGGACTAATCCTTTGATAAATTTGCTAACAATATATTGTTGTCCAAAGCCTCCTACAGGATCAACTCGTTAAATTAACATTTTATATTTTTGAGCATAATCAGCTACACTTTGTTTAGGCTGTTGACGAATTAACTCTAAATCAGTCATCCATTTATTTTTCATGGTAGCATTAGCAAAATAATTTAAAAAATAGTTGGTGAAATTATATTGACTTTCTTATAAAGTCCAATTCTGAAAGGTAGGTTGATTTTCATCATACCATTTAGCAGCAACGTCTCTTAAGTATCCTATAGCAATAGCTATTGTCCTATTGTTAGTCCATTGATTAGCTGTAGCTGCTTGTTCAAAGAAAGCAAGCCATTCATAAGGGTTCTCATTATCTGTTCCATGAAAATAAGTAGGTTTAACTAAATTCAATTCTGCTCAATTTACTTGAGCCACATTTCCTGTTGGATTGGGATTCATAGCTTGTAGTGTCAGAGTCATTTGTTAAAGTAATTGCGCCATCTGAAAGTTATTATAGTTAGCATTGGGATTAGAAGTGTTGGTATTTAATGTAAATTGAGTAGTACTAAGCTGAGTTGAAATAATTCTAAATCCCGAGTTTCCTGTTTTGGCTATATTAAAAGTATTAGGTATATTGGATCTCTATAAATACGATTGATTATTATTTTGTGCAGTATTACTTCCAGTTTCAAATCCAGAAGAAAGGTTAGAACTTTTAGTATTTGTACTTGATAAGGGATTTATACTTAAAGGATTATTAAATTGGAAAGGGTTAGAGATATTTTTAGTTGTGTTAAACGTGATCTGCTTTAGTTTAGTTACTTTAGAGGTATTGATAAGATTCTCGATAGAAATAGATGCAGTGGTAATTCCTAGCTTTTCAATAGTCATTTGATTAAAGATATTTGAAGTATTTGGATTTGATTAATATCTTCTATGTCTGAAAGAAGGTGAAATATTATGAAAACTTGTGATTGAATTATCAATTTCTAGACCTTTATCTTTTAACTGAGGATAAATTATCTCAGTTGTAGTTTCTACTGTCTCGTTACCACTATATCTAAAATTTGGACTATCAATTAGGGGATATTCAGAATTCTCTTCTTTTACAACTCTATCTACTTCAAACTTATTAAAGTTATAAGGACTATTAAGATGTACTTGACCGTTGTCTGATTCAATATCTGAATTATCTAAAGTTACAGTTTCTTAAGGAGAAGTTTCGATAGTAGTAAACTGAGATGATTGAGGTTAAAGCTGGCTAATTTCAGACTCCGTATATGTGTTTGATAGTCTTCCAGATGTCCTTTCTGTACTTGTAGGAATATTTGAAGTATTTCTTCTTCTAGTAAGTTGCACAGAAGAAGTATAAGACCTTCTATCTCTAAGTTGATGTGTCTGTTAAGATTGAGAATTGCCTGATTTCTGACTAGTGTTATCTTTCTTTGGAGAAGTCACGTTTAATTTCTCTTATAATGAATAATTGTTGTAAATAATTGAAGACTGTGTTCACACAACAAATGGAGAAAGACTATTTGTAAAACAATCAGTATCTATAAATACTGAAATTAATTGAGTAATCGGGGGTAATTCATTTACAGTAGGATTATATCTATAACTTCGAGTTAGAACACTAATCTGAGCAACAAGAGTTCTAAAAAGATCACGATCATTTGGATATGAATTAAACTCAGAAACAGTTTGACTAATAATAATAAAAAGGTCAAGAGTAATGCCAGTATATCTATATGCTTTGAATTAGAGTTGATACTAATTTCACAGATTTTCAAAGTTCTCAGGTTCTAGGGTATAAAGAGGATAATAAGTTAAACAGGATAAATCTCTTCCAAGAAGTTCCTTTGGGTCAATCTCTGATCCGTGATTTCTCTTGTCTAAACTCGTTTAAATCCACAATTCTTAACTTTTCTCAAAAGTTTTTAATTCCTAGTAGGAATCATCAAATTGTTACCAGATTCATTTTCGTTTATCTTAATGTCTAAATTGAAAGGCTGCAGCAGCTGATTCTACATGTTAGAGTTTCCAACCTTAGGATTTTCTCTAAGTCCTACAGGTATCTGTTATACTTGAATCAACTTGGCAATTTATCATGTCTTAGAATTTAAGATATATTTAATCAAACTCGTAATGATAAACTCAATAGCAAGTTAGTGTAGGATATCACAACAATTCTAGATGAGAGACAATGTTAAAGGGAAAAGTAGTTTGTGTGAATTTAAATTGATTCCTTTATTTATAACTTGAAACTCGCAGAAGAGTTTATAAACTTACAACTGAGTTTATAGACTTACAATTGAGTTAATTTACAACTTAAGCAAAAAGCTATTCTATTTATATAAATTAACTTTGCTACAGCTAACTACTTGCTACGTTATAAATTAACTAAATATAGATATATGTTTCAATAAAAATATACGTAAATATAATAAAATAATAAAAATAATATAAATAATAAAAATAATAAAAAGAAATAAAATAAGTTACAGATGTTAAAGAAATTACAGACAAAATAGAGTAAATAGAATAAACAAACAGTTCAGAAAATACAGAAGAAATAAGTATATCAGGTGCAATAGAAATTATTGATGATCACTGTTTAGCACAGCAGTGATATAATCTAACGTGAGATCATTATTGATCGACAGATCCCACGTAATATTTGAAGTTGTAATTTCTTCTGTTGATACTATACTATATATCTAGAAGTATAAAACTCATCAACTAGAATATTTTTGTTATGCGGCCAATTTTCATGCACAGGATGATCATGTTGCATTTGATGGAGAACTTCATTAATTATGTTGTTCTTACTATATCCAGTAGGTAATATAGGAACAAATGTTTGCGAGGTGAAACAAGTTTTATCATTTTTAATTCCATCTTTGTGTTGCTCATTTGATCCTTCCTCTTTATGATGAGCTTTATTACTTGAGACCTGTGAGAGCTGTTCTGCAATCGATCTATTTTTAGATAACTTTTACAAAATATTATTATTGATATCAATGTCACGATAGTATATATTATTGGCTTTTAATCACAAAAAAGCTCGTATTACTTTTTCATAATGAACTTGAAAGTTATAAAAGTTGAATACATTTTTAGTATAATGCTAAACAATAAGAAAATCCAGCGATGATGGATCACGTGAAAGGTGGGTTACAAACTCCTACACATCTTACAGAAAATTAATAATATTTCCACAATATACATACTGTTTCCTAGAAAGATTATATACTAAAATGACAGGAAATATTTATGCAATCAGCATCTCTTCTATATTAGTTAAGTCCTGAAGTTCTTGTAGAACTTCGCCTAAAAAAAAGTGAAAATACGTGAATCTATCAAGTTCAAGTCTATATTAAGAAAAATGGTTTACTTTCATCTGAATCCATATTGTTTTCAATAGAAAATCTTTTAGGCCTATTTTCTTTACAGCATCGACAGCATTCTTTATCAGTAAATACATTAAATAGAAATTACTCATTACACATGATACAGAGATTATTTCTCAAATTACTAATTATATTATGAAATTTGTGTAAAAGTTTCTGATCTAAAGTTGAAATACCTTCTATATCACATCTTTGATATAGAGTTGTCTTATTCTTAGAAAGTCTTGCAATACATTATTAAGGAGTTTCTCTAGACTTTTTAATAAATATTTTTTATGTATACAAGTACACTGAGCCTTCTATTCAGCTATCAAATGCGCTTCAAGTTCTTCATGAATCTTTTTAGCTATTTTACACTGCTTATTGTTTTTCTTATTTTGATTATGTACTAAATACATCTTATGAGCCTCTTCAGCCACTTTTCGCTTCTTGTCTACATCACGTAAATGTAGTGCTTTATTTTCTTTATCATTCTTTTTGAGTAAATTCACAGAAATTTGTTTATGAATTATGTATATAAAACATGTATTATATTATTGATTTTAAAAACAAAAAAAAGAAATGCAATCAGAAGCGTTAAACATTATTAGCTATCTTACCATATTGTAATTAGACATAGATATTATTAAATTGTGAACTTTAATAAATGAATTAAATGAAATATCAAGTATGAAAGAATATTTAAAAAATGTACACATATAAAAGAAATATTCACAATTTGATGCGTTTAACAAAAAAAAAGGTGATTTAAGTCGTCAACTGAGAAACATTCTTTGATATCACATGACTTTTATATTAAAATGATAAAGATACTTGTAAATGCAAGGTGACAATCTGCTGCTTTTGATATTATGAACAAAATATATTTTAATATCGAAACAATTTTGTATTATTATAATCGTTAAAAAAAAATTTTTTTATTATAATAATGATTTATAACAAATATATATATAATAAAATAAAATTTACAAAAATGATACAAATTTTATTTATTTATATTTATATTAATACAAAAGTTAAACAAATAATATATACTATAATATTCTAATAAATTTATTGATTGACACTATGAAACCAAAAAGTTTATATAATATTAAAATGTGATAGACTTAAACAATTTCTATTTCTCTAGTAATATTTTTCATTTGGATTGCAACTTCTTTCATTTCTTTTGAGCTATCTTTCATGATAAGATCAAGATCCATCTGCAACTTATATGCCTTTTTCATAAAAGAGAAAGTAAAGTCAACTTACTTCAAACGGTATTCGTAACAATTCAAAAAATGGTAATCTTCTAGATCTATTTTATCGAAGTAAATACTTCAGCTGGTAGACATCATTTTGGTTAATAAAAGCACAAATATTACGAATTGAGGGTAAATATTTATCTCAAATGTTAAAATTTAGGACAGGAATATGCAATTATTTTTAATATCTCATCTGTAATATCATAAAATCACAAACTAAGATACTGCAATTTGGAACAGGAATATGTAATTTTAATTATAGATATACAGTCAACTCTTGTTATAACGAACTCTATGTCCTAGACCTCAACTTCGCTATAAGGCTATAGTGAAGATTTTAAGAGATTTGATTGGCCAATTCGCTATAACAAGAGTATTTTTATTATATTTGTTCAAAAAATTCGTTATAACAAGAGTTCGCTATAACAAGAGTTGACTGTATTGCTAATACGCTTAATATATCTCAGACTAAGATAGTTCAAGTTTAGACACAAATTGACAATTTTGCTTAAAGATTTATCAGAAAGTTAGAAGAACTAAGATTTAGATATTCCAGATTTTGATTTGTAATTTTACGTAATATTCTATTGTCAATATAAATAAATTTATCAGAAAGTCACTTCTTAGTGATATTAAAATCAAATTCAAAATATTTTAAATTAGGTTACATTTTTAAAGAATCACAGTTAATTTATAAGAAAAGCTATTACAACTATTAAGAATTAGATATTGTAATCTTAGAGTTTTACAAGCAATCTTGATTAATTTTTTACTTGAAATTTTACATTCATAAAAAATGAGTTGTAATAGCTTAGAACAGTAAAGAGATTTTTGATTTTCATGTATCACTTTCTTGAATTTTTTGAATTACACTATAATTCTTTTATCAAACTCTGCATAACGCTAGATAATTGACCCTATATATGAATACCAAAATTTATTGATGAATAAAATCAGATAGTGTTCTAAATTCAAGAGAATTTTGACTAATATTTCAGGTAAGTTTAGTGGATATCTAGCGATATATGACATTGATACTTATATTTGCAAATTTATTCTTTATATAATAAATAACCTTACTCTTGCAATTTATTTTTTATATATGACAATAAATTAGTATCATACAATATTAAAATAAAATCTATACTCTCTTACATATTTCCTATTTTTTTTATCACGTATCCTTTGTTAATTCAAATTAATTTATCCTCTCTTATAAAATATCACATTCTAATTATAGTGTTAGACGCCTTGATGTTCTATGTCAATTTTAGTTTATCATTATACTCATCTAGTCTTAGTTTACCTAAAAACTTTAATTTACATGACGGAAATTTTTTATCTAATAAATTTCAAAAATATATTGACATTAATGCTCATCTATTATATGATAGCAAAGGAGATACTATTTAAACTTCGTAGCTATTAATAGATATAGATATTCTCATTAATACTTTCCATTTTTATAGAACTAGAAATATATATCAAAATCATTTATTTGGTCAATTTTACTGAGATATTTTCTGCTACGCTTCTCAGCATATATAACAGCTTTAACTATTTTATTAATAATATGAACAAAATTAACAGATCTGGAATAAGTGTTTTTTCTAATATACTCTGAGACGGATACTCAATTTTTTCTAAATCTATATATGTAAGCTCCTCTCTCATAAATCTCTGCTTTAGAGTATATTCATTGTCATCACTTTTAGGATAATATAAAACTGGTTCGTTCTTTGTTACAATAATTTTTCCAATTTTAAATAAAGTTGGATTCTATATCACATCTATCATATACCTCTGATTTTCTATATTACCTTCTCATTCTATATTAACAAGTAGATAGCGAACTGTATCACATTTTTTCAACCTATTCTTCTCATATTTTTCAACAAAACACTTATATTTTGTAGATGGTTTAGATTCTACTTTTTTTAACTTGATAGCTTTTGCTGAAACTAAATCTCATTTTAATAAATCTAGAGCTTGAATAAGACACATCAGATAATTATTTAGGTAATCAATAACTTTTGGCAAATACTTAACCCACTTTCTTATTAATTTAAAATTTGAAGTTATACTTTCAACAGTATATTAAATCTTGTAAAGTATCTCTGCTAAAGTTTTATTAAATTTCTCTATAATTACTATCCTATGATGAGAATATAAACTAATAACTCAGATTATAACATCATATGCCTAATAAAAAATTTGATATAAAAATTCCATAAAAATATTAAGTTTTATAACATATAACTTTTATGGAAAATCAGTATAA